TAACACATAAAATACATGCATGTAATGAACTCAATATAAACCCTCTACCTTTGGGTTATAAACCTATCGGTAGTAACCCACAATGCAAACCTTGTCGTGTCCTATGGGGACATCTGACAACAATCACAGTCACCACCTAGCTCAAGCCATACCATAACTGTTAACACCACTAGCATAAGTTAACCGCTTGTCACTAGGCCAAAATGTAAATTAGCCATCCCTGGCGTGAGCCAACTGCACACCGCTATAACAACCCTCACCATAGTCAGACACAATATTGTCCGCTTTTGGCTCCCTAGACCAGAGACTTCCCAAGGGATAACCCATCCTAGTACTACTCCAGGTTAAACACACTTAACTCTGAAGTTCTGGTGGGTTCACGGACATCACGGTTTTAAAATGTATTATGTTATAGAAGGGTGTTGAATCTACATATAGCACTTGCCCCATCCACACCCAAGCGATATGGGATTGTGCACCTGTAGCTTATCTAGTGTGGTTACCTACTGGTGCCACCTGCACACTCTTACACACACCTGCTCACAAGGTCACCACAATCACCTCCCTTTGGGGCCCAACGTCCTCGTTGGCAACTCTTCCGGCTGGATCAGTCTCTAATACCATTTGTAACAACCCCCACCCTATCTAGACACAATATTGTCCACTTTTGGCTTAGCCAAACAAAAAACTTCCTAAGGTGTCACCCATCCTGGTACTACTCCAGGTACGCTCAACTCTGGAGTTCTAGTGGGTTCACGGTTATCACGGTTTTAAAACACATTGTGTCATAAAAGGGTGTTGAATCTACATATAACACTTGCTTTATCTATACCCAGGCAATGTAGGATTGTGCACCTATAGCTCACCCAGTATGGTTACCTACACGTGCTACCTGCACACACTCACACACACCCGCCTACAATGTCACCACAATCACCCCTCTTTGGGGCCCAACATCCTCGTTGGCCACATTTCCGGCTGGGTCAGGCTCTGATACCATTTGTAATAACCCACACCCTAGCCAGACACAATATTGACCACTTTTGGCTACCCCGGACCAGAAACTTTCCAAGGGGTCACCCATCCTGGTCCTACTCCAGGTTAAACATGCTTAAATCTGGAGTTTTGATAGGTTTATAGCCATCACGGCTTTAAAAAGTTGACAATATTTAAGATGTGTTGTGGAACAAAGGAGTTTAGGTTAACCTATATTATACATTATATGACGTGTTGATTAACCTATATTGTATTGTCTATATATATATATCTTATCCCATAATTGTTTTAGTCAATTAGTCAATTATAACGTACAACGTGTTAGTTAACCTATCTCGTATGTTGTGTGTGTGTGTGTGTGTGTGTGTGTATATATATATATATATATATATATATATATATATATATATATATATATCTTATTTCATAATTGTTTTTAACCAATTTTGATAATATTATATTGGTTGGGTTGGGTGTAGGCCAACTAATCTTGAAAATTTATTTTTTTGTACAACGTTGTATTGCGTACATATTGGTTGAGTTATATCATACATTATATATATATATATATATAAGTTTTATTCCATAATTTTTTTTAACCAATTTGGATAATATTATATTGGTTGGGTGTAGGCCAACTAATCCTAAATATTTATATAACGTGTACATCTAATTGGGTATATGTTATAACCACTTTGGGACAATGTGGAAGTGGTTGGTAATGAATGTCATATTATATTGGCTAAATAATTATATAACGTATGGCGTGATATAATTATTGCCCAAGTTATATGTGTAGAGGTCTTACTACTATCAGACATGGAGCTAAGGGAACTTAGATCATCTTCTTTGCATGACTAACTTATAACTAGTTATGTTACCAATATGTTTGATGTGGTTACAGCTTGTTTTACTATCAGACATGGAGCTAAGGGAACTTAGATCATCTTTTTTGCATGACTAACTTGTAACTAGTTATGTTACCAATATGTTTGATGTGGTTACAGCTTGTTTTGGCCAAGGGTATGCCCTTGTTGATGATTGTACTCTAATTGTTATATCTATAAAAAAAATTCACATTTACCCAGGAAAAAAAAAAACGTATGACGTGATATATTGGTTATTACCACTTTGGGCAAATGGTAATGGTTAGTCACTTTGACCATTTTGTGAAAATTGGTGGGATTTGAACAAATGGTTAATTGTGTAATGTACGACATAAATTAATAAGTTGTTCATTGTTATTTATCATGTGTATACATGTTATATGTGAATGGAAATCTTGGTATAAAGATTTATATGATTTTATTCATGTTTAATTAATGCATGCGTTTATTTATTGAATAATATTTTGTGTATTTATTGTATTGTACTATGTGGTTGATTCAGAGGCATAGACAATTTTCCAAGGCACAAACAGATTTCCTTATGACGTGGGAACAAAATACCTATATAGGAAGCATGGTTCATATGCTATTAAATTTGTATGGACAAAAATATACTTATGAAGGCATGAACGATTTGCCAAAGAATAAATAAAATGCTATATGAGTTAGATGGATAAATATACATCTATTGATATTGTGTTTGTAATTTGGAGGAAATAAATATTCTTATATTAGAATAAACTAGTGATTAAAAGATATTATGGTATTTATAGTATGAATAAAAGTATACTTGTGGAGGCATGTATGAGTTGTCAAAGTATAAGTGTTGTTATCTGATTTTTATAAATAAAATCATTGGAGGATATTGTAATTGGGATTAAAGGAAAATATTCCTTAAATTGTTATTTATTATTTAATAGTTAATTAACTGTTTTAAATTAGAATTGGGGTTTAAAGGAGTTTATCTTAAAATAGAATTTACTTGATGGTTGGTTTAGATATGGATGTGATTTTTATCATTATTCATAATCTTGGATTTCAGGGAATGTATTAAATGGACTTGACTTTTATATTATATATTTATTTATATATATGTATCATCTTATATTAAAGGTTAAAACATTAATTAGGATGATTTTGGGTAGGGATATTTTGATACCAATTGTAACGACCCCCACCCTATCCAGACACAATATTGTCCGCTTTTGGCTCCCCCGGACCAGAAACTTCCCAGGGAGTATGTGACGGCCTAAATTCATAGAATCTGGTGCATCAACTACAGTGATGTGAAACCCTAACTCGATAACGGATCCGGAATACGGAAGATAAGTCGAAAAGGTTAAATGGTACCTTCCGGCATCGATGACGCTCAAAGAAGCATGAACTAGGTCAAACTAGGTCATGATCTCCATAAAACGTCTCATACAAAGTTATAAGCCTGAAATGAAAGCATGAAGAGAGAGATAACATGCAAAATGAAGTGTCCAAACCAGGTTTTACAACCCATAAACAAACTGGTCATCTGAAATGTCACTTTGGTCGTCTGAAATGAGACAAGTGCTTCAGTCATCTGAAATGGGAAACCAGTCTACCAGTTGTGGTCCCTATAGTACTTTAGCTATTGTCTAAAAACTAAAATTGGTCCCAATGCAACCAGTCGTCCCAAATAGCATTTTGGTCAACCGAAATGCCTCGAGAAAGTGTAGAAATTTTGTTATGAACTAGAAAATACTAAGTCTCCATACAAGCCTCAAAATCCTCAACATACACTGGTCTGACATGAAATTAAAAGTGTGTGAGCATACAGGTAAGTGATAAATACATGAGAAAATGAAATACAAATGGCTCTAAGGCCTCATTATATGTAATCATCCAAAAAAAATATACTCTATATATCTATGGTTACAAAAATATACAAAAAAGGGTATACTAAACACTTTGCATGCATACAAAAGATGTGTGTCCATGACACAAAGCCCATAGTACACTAAGGTTGGTGTGCATTTAAGAAAAGCACCTCCTTACTTGAAAAATATATAATCAACGGGTGTGAGTAAATTGAATTACTCTGTAGGAAAATGCATTATGCAGATAACCTAAAGTTTCAGAGGTTTTGCAAGTATAATATAGATAAATACATGTGGATTATGCCTCCTAACGTCTAGTTTCAAGGTGAAGCTAAGGAATTATCCTAAAACTAATTTTGAAGCATTTTAAACGAAATCCACAATAAGTAATGCACTTAAAAAAAATTGGAACATCCAATGCCAAACCACAAGTTACAAGTATACAAAATTGTCAATTTGGAATCTGTGACGGCCCGAATTTCAAAGAACCCAATGCGTCAGCGAGTAACCTAAAAACTGACCAGATAACGAGTCCGAAACGTGGAAGTAACAAAAGAGAAAATGTCTCAAGAGATGGACACCACCTCTAAGATTGCAAAGTGACCTCCTAAGAGATCATAAGACTCAAAAAGAAGTAAATGCGAAAGCTAGGGTTTAAAACTGTCAAAGATGCCACTAGGGGTAAAATAGTCATTTCAAATAGAAATGGATGCTACCATGCATATCATTGGATAGAAAACTAAAAACTAATAAACTTTGACTCAAAAATCACTTGATTTGGAGTTAGAATGAAGAAGATATGAATTTCTTCAGTTTTACAAAAAAGTTATCAAAATGTGCCCAGTACGATCGATTTGACTGCGATTAGTCATTTTTTTGAAAACACATGATTTTCAAGGTTAAAACAAGACTTTTTGAAAAAAGTTTATGAAGAAACCCCCCCCCCCCCCCCCTAAAAATGAGTCTTTTGATTAACCATGGTCCAAACCAATAATGAAATGCAAAGTAAAATGACCAAAATGCCCCCGAGTGCAAAGTATGTCAAGAAGATAAAAAATTTGGCTGTGAGCAGTCATTTTTTGAAAACGCTTGATTTTCAAGGCGAAAATGGGACTTTTTGGAAAATGTTTGTGAAGAAACCCCCCTAAAAATAAGTCCTCTGATCAACCATGGTCCAAAACAAAAATAAAAACCAATATAAAATGACCTAAATGCCCCCGAGTGCAAGGTATGTTAAGAAGATAAAAACATGCTTAAAAATGACATCCTTTACATACATAGAAAGTTCTTAGTCCTTGGCCTCATTACATACAAATTAAAGTAGCACCAAAATAGAGTACTTAAGTTCATATTACACATCCAAAAGGAAGCAAGGCATGCTTCTAAATAAGTTATACATTAACTACTTCAAAAAGAGCTATATCATGCCAATACTTGCATGTCAAAAATATACAAAAGGTATCCAAATGAAACTCAAGCCAACCTAGGGATGTTGTGCATCCAAAGAGAGTCTCCTTGCCTGAAAACAAATATCAATTAGGGTGAGTAAACGAGTTACTCAGTAGGATGAAGCGTATGCGTATACCTTAAAGTTTCAATGGTTTTTGTAAGTGTAATATAAACCAAACACATGCGGATCATGCCTCCTAGTGTCTAGTTTCAAGAGGAAGCTAAGAGATTATCCTAAAGCTAATTTTGAAACATTTTGAAATCAATCCACAACAAGAAACGCAAGTAAACAATATTAGAAACACCAATGCCAACAACAAGTTACAACTACTTAGGATTATCAACTTGTAATAAAATGCAAAATCAAACAATTGTAATATACTTGCAAGATTAACTACCACAAGCTAGTAGAATAACAAAGTTTACACCACTCTAAGGACTATAACTCAACAGATACATAAACTTCGCTATAATGTAACTCACGCATGTGACTCCATGATGCAATGTGATGTAATGCCGGATATCTTATATGATTAAATGAATGGTGCACTTCCGCACCCCATTGACCAAGTGTGATTAGGCATTTTCAACCCTTGGACTCGATGTTGACTTCTCAAGTTCGGATAGCTTCTATCCTTCAATCATGTCATGCATGCCATACACACATAACTTGTAACCTCATGAACAAAATGATGACCACTATGCACCTAAGGCCAAAGTGGCGCACACACACCATGATTCACACATATGGAGAATATATCAATAATTTCACAATACTAAAATAATGTTAACTACTCAATAGTCATTCAATCATGTTCTTAATTTGTACACACTTATACTAATATTATGTCATTCACATAAAGGATTTAATCATGCTAGTATTGTAAACCTTAGACATGTAACTACACAAGTTTTCAAAACTACAATGGCATTTACAATGTCAAGTTTATAATGTGAATACAACTATGCTACTACAAGGTTGTCAAATTAGGAAATCCATTCATGTTAACATGGTAAACCTCAAATCTATAATTTAAACAACAACTTAGTATTAATTTCACAACACATTCAATCATAAGAATAATTTTAGAATATTATAATTACAACAACAAAATAATACTATAATTTAATTCTCTACAAAATGAAACTACAACTACACAAGACATAAATCATATATAAGTCTTGCACAATATGAAACCCTAGGTTAGATATATACAAGATCCATCTATATGAACCTTAGTTTAGTGTGTTTATGGATCCTTAGTTAAATGGTAGAACTTTGTTACAAGAATTTGGCCATATAGTGATTAGGAGGCTCAACCTTCCTAGGGATTCCAAAGTAGAAAGAATTCAGATTAATGGGGGCTGGAACTGGTGTCTACTGCAAGATGACACCTTTGATGAATCAAGAACTTTTTTGAATTTTGTACCACTTCATAATGGCAATAATAGAGTCTTATGGAATGGTCGTCAGTTTACTTTCAAAAGAGCTTGGAAGATTTGTAGAGAAGCCCATGAGCTAGTGGACTAGTACAAAGTTTGTTAGGGGAAGTCTAGACCTAGATGGTTAGTTAATGTTGTGATTGTCTTTCTTAATAGGCTGCCTTCAATGGTAAATCTTAAGAAGAGGAAACTACAACTGGCTACTAGGTCCTATAATTGTCTCCATCAAGAGGATAACAGAGACCATCTGTTTGTCACATGCCAGTATGCTAGATCCATTTGGCTATAGATTGTTGTAGTTTTGGGATGGAATGTGCAATTTTCTGGGATCCACACCATCGAGGATCTCTATTTGTGATTTGATTAGTTGCCTCGTGACTCTAAATTGCATAGAAGCCTGTTTATTGCTCTTCTTTAGGGTATTTGGCAGGAGAGAAATGCTAGGCTGCATGGTATAATTCATAGGTCTCCTGAAATAGTAGCTAGACAAATTCTATTTCAAGTTCTTGATGTATACAAAGTTTCAATCTATGATTTCTTGTAATGTGCTTCTCCTTTTGGCTTGTATTAGAAATGGTCTTTTTCAATTGTATTGCCCAGTTTCATTTCTATCTAGGGTATGCCCTCTGAGCTCCTGTATTGTTTGATCCTTTTTAAATACAACACCAATTATGAAAGGAAAAAACAATGCACCTTAAGATTTTTATTAAAACAATTAATTTCAAGAAATAAAGGAATATTTATAAACATTTGATGGAGAATATGTCATCAAATTAGTATGATTTTTATTTTCATAATTTATTTTAATAAGAAAAATGGGTAAATGTAATTTAATAAGAAAATGGTATTATAGTCATTTAATAAAATTAGCCCATGAAAGGCATGTGGGCATTTTGTAACAAAATGTGATAGTTCAGGGGGTGTTATATACAAAGTATAGTTTAGAATGATTATTTGCAAACTTGGACATAGTTCAGGGTAAAATTTTTCTTTTGGTAAATTACACTGACCTTCTCCTAAGGTTTGGACAAATTATACACGGATAGACTGTTTGACCTCTCTTTTGAATGTGAAAGTCAACAATGCCTTTTATATTTTAATATTTTAAAAGAAATTACTTTTTTTTCCAACATTATTAAAAAAACACTCCCCACTAAAAGGAAGGTCAACATTATCATTTTATATATATATAAATTAAGGGAAGGGTTCTCATTGAGCACACGCGTCAGATCTAAAAGAAGGTCAAAGTTATAAAGGCCAAATGGTCTATCCGTGTGTAATTTGTCCAACTATCAAAAGACGTCAGTGTAATTTACTCTTTTTTTTTTTTTTTTTGCATTTTACCCCATTTACAGGAGTATAAAAGTACAAAAGCAGTTAATACCATTTTCCTAAATTGATATTTGTAATGGTCAAACCCCGCCAGGTTGGCCTAGCGGGTGAGAATTTGGGCCCTTATGAAGTATCAAGTCTCAGGTTTGAAACTCTGGATAAATAATTTTCGTGGGCATACTTAAACGAGTTAAGTTGTAGTCACACTGAGCCCTGAACTTACCCGGTTTTGCCTAGTGCACGTCGCTTGTGGGCCTCCCTTATAAATAAATAAAAAGAAAAAATATTTGAAATGGTCAATTATTAATATATATATATATTTGGTAGAGTCAATTATGACATTAAGGTTTCTTGTAATATAATTACTTTTTCTAATAATATCATTGAACTAATAAATTAATAATTGTAGGCTATTGAAAGTAAACAATGTAATCTAAATGGTTTTAAAAATAATAGGGCCAATTGTAAAAAATCCTCCTCGACTATTAGTGAGTTGCGAAAAATAGTCTTTATGAATAATTTTAGCAAAAAATTCCCCTTAACTACTTGAAGGGGGTGTATTTAACTTATGTCCTTTTAGTAAATTTTTGAGGCAATTTTTTTTGGATGAAATTAGCCCGTGATCTTCATTTTTTAGTCCCAAGAATATTTTAGTCCACGAAGCTTCAGACCACACACCAACTAGCCATACATCAAATTCCATATTGGGTGTTCCCAACTCATGATTGGGCCGGTTTTCAAACTTTACAATAGCTCTCAAACCCATAAACAAAGACGATGATCAATTACCATTGGCGCTAATTATTATTTACATGTGTATAAATGAACAAATATATATATATATATATATATATATATATAATGAAATTACAGACTTTTGCAGGAGGAAATTGAGGAATTGGATATGAAAGAGAGAGGCAGTGATTTGGTCTTGAATTGCTAAATATATAGTATATATTATGCAATGGATGATGATCATTGAGGGAAACTAACTCACTTTACCAGCACACTGAAGATCAGCGGTAATGGAGAATAAAAGATTTAACCCATCAAGGTCGTTGTCAGCAGAGAGTGAATCGGGGAGAGATGATAGAGTGAATGAGAGAGAGATTAAATGCGAATAAATTAAGTACAAAAGAGAGATTAAATCGAAGAATTTATCAGAAGGAAAACCCTGGAAAAACCGAAAACTTCACTATTGAAGACGATAAAAGACAGCGCCGGCTATGCTGCCGGTTTTACTAGAGATAAGCTCGCTGGAACTAGCCTCACTGGACTACTATTGAAGGAGAAAATGCAGCAAGAAGAGAAAGCTTCAGCGACCAAATTTGATTCCATGAACTTTGGCGTCCAAAGTAGCAGCAGCGTCATAGTCCCGCAAATCCAGGGCTTCAACTACTAAGTCCAGCAAGCTTCTTGAACCAGGTCGATCACTGTGACCTTGTTCAACCCTCCATTGCGACCTTGTGGTCGCCGTACCCAAACCAACGAGACAATAATGGATTTCCATGAGAGCGACCAGCCTAGCGACCCAGGCTGTTGCCGAAATAAAAATAGCGACCTCATGGTCGCTACTCCGGCGACCACAACCGCAGTAGGCCCGTCAGCGAGCGGATGTCCGGCGATCTCTTGAAGATGTTTAAATAATTTCGTCAGAAAAATTGCCTCACAAATTAGTTGAACGTAGTTGTAGGTCCAAAATTTCGCTCAACCAATAATAATTAAGAAAAATAAAACAACTCACTCAATCAATAGTAAAATAAACAAGAACAATATATCTCGAAGCGTAGAATTGCTTGATCCCTTTATTGGAGGTCTAAGCCTCTATTTATATACAAAAGATTGTAGAATTATGGTAGGACTCGCCTTGCTTGCCCTCCAATTCTTTCTATATAAACATTCTTTACTAGTAGAGTTCTTTCCATTGTCTAATTTTCCATACATAGAACTTGCCTTGTACAGAACTTCCTATCTCAGAATTTTCCTTCTACGGTAAATCCTTCAACTGATAAGATTTGTGCATTCTTGAATAACTGGGCTGAACATACTTTGATCCGGCTAGGCTTGAGTAACGGACCAGATGTTTAAATACTAACTAGTTGGGCCGATGACCTCTTGATTCGGCCTTGATGGAGGCTGGAGGACAAATAACAATGGTCTTGGGCTAAAAATACCCTCAATTTGGGCTTGAGCATGATGGGCCTTATATGTCCTTGGAGTGTAGTGATGACGTGTGCGCTTTTTATTGGAGGGAGTTTTTTTCCCGCCACACTTTGCCCCAAATTTCATTTTTAA